ATAAAGAAGAATAAAATCATCATATTGAAATATAAAAATTTTTCATAAGAATACTCATGTAACGTAATAATAATAAATAACATATACTAATTATAAATAAATAACATACTAATTATAGATGAATAACAAAATAATAATTGTAAATAAAAGAACATAATAATATAAAAATAACATAATGTAATAATATTTATAAATATAATAAAAAAACAATTATTATAAATAACGAATATTATATTATTACATATAATAATAATTGTATTTTTATATTATTTATAAAATAATTACATAATATATTTTTAACACAAAAATGAATATCAATTAAAAAGTACTGAAAACTTGCAATATACCAAAACCTGCAAAAATATCAAGGTAATTGAAATATGTTGTATGTTATAATGTTATCGCCCATCTTGGCGAACATAAAAGACAACTACGATGCGCGTCGACTAAATTATACTTTGATATTAAAATTATCTCAAGTGAAATAAAAAAAATAAAAACAAGCGTCACATTAATTGTAAGGTAATAAAATATTTTGAATGCTGTACAATAATAAAATATTTTGAAAACTGTTACGATAGTAAAATATTTTGAAAACTGTTACGATAGTAAAATATTTTGAATGTTGTTCGATAATAAAATATTTTGAATGTTGTTCGATAATAAAATATTTTGAATGTTGTACGATAGTAAAATATTTTAAATGCTTTATAATAATAAAATATTTTGAATAATTTGTTGTTTTATTTTGATATGTGTTGCCCAACTCAGTGTAGTAAATTTTTACCCGCCCCACCAACCGATTTAGGTTGGGCATCCCTGGTCTAAGCCCTAATTCGGCAACCCAAGAGAACTGACGCATGCGTAGAAACAGCAACAGCATATCCGCAGAAAAATTAGATAATTCCCTTCGCTGTATATATAACTTTTTAAAAAATGGTATATTTCATCTGAAACCATTATTTAAAAGAAATTTGACATTAAATTAGCGTTAAATCTACTAATATCAAAACCGTTCATAGGGATTTGCAAAAAAAAGTACTAATAAATGCATGATTCAGTGTTATATATTTTTATAACAGATAAAAATGCTATATTTCAACATTACTAATAATATACAAACTAATCTATATTTTTTATTATTATATATATATAATTTATATAACTATTTATATAACTTTAAAAGACTACTTACTACAAGAACGCACGAACGACATTGTTTTTAGAAGTATTTTACATGAATTTATTAAAAAGAACTCTGCTCACATTTAAAAAAATGACGCAACTGATTTCATATCGATATGCTACTCGTTTTGGCGTGATTTTTCAAATCAAATAGATTTTGGCGGCCGATTTAGTGTTATTGCACTGCAAAGTTATCGCCCCAACTAAGCAAAATTTGACAACTACTTGGGGGGAAAATTCGAAGTGTACTGATATCAAATTAGTACCAAAATGACGACAGCTGTAAGCCACTAAAACGTACACATGCAGCCCTTGTGGCATCAAAAAAAGGATAGTGGCACCAAATGGTTATTGACAGATATCGCCCTGTTTACGATAAGAATTTAAATTGTAAAACTGTGACAGATTAAAACTAAATCATATATTTCATATCTGTAAGCAAAACTCACAGCACGCAGGAATTTGAGACAAATATAATCATTTATCAACATTGAAGAGCATCATAATTAAACCACAAAGCATTACCAATCAGTTCACCAACTCCGGAAATAAAACCTAAATCGCTATTTTTGAATATTAAACAGTGAGAAAACACTCCAGCAGTTCCATATAAACCTTTTTTTAAGAGGAGAAAATTTGTTGTACTCAAGTGTGAACATGTAAAACCCGCGTGAAACTTTCTCGAGTATTTGAGATTTCAAAAATTCCATTCTCAGACGCTTTTTATTTATTTTTTTACAGAACACTTCGACCGTGAATGTTTCGTGACTTTATTAAGAGAAATTACTTTTTGTCTCATAAAGATGAAATTGAAAGGAATTATTCTTTTTCGGACAAATAAAGAATATTCTTTAAGGTATCCGACTATTAAAAGAGAAAAAAAAACCAAATTTTAAAAGCGCATAAAGGGAAAAATTTTTATGGTTTTAAATGTCATTTTTGGGATTAGAATAAATGTTTTAAAATTTTTTTTAAGGACATTTTGAAAAAAAAACCCCATTTAAATACAATATTTTGGCAAAAAAAAAAAAAAAAATTTTTTGTTTAATTTTTTTAAAAAATGTTTTTTTATAAAAAAAAAGTTTTAAAAAAAAAAAATATTTTGTTGTGTGTGTTTTATAAAAAAGTAAGGACTTCTCCGGAGAGTCGGGAATTTACGTTTTTTTAAAAATTTCACATTTTTTCAAAGAAAACCAAATTTTGAAATAATTTTTTTTTCCTGTTTTTTCAAAAATTTCTCCCTCTGTTGTCGTAAAACAGGGATAAAACCCCAAATTTCTAAGTTTTTATATTTTCAAAACTTTATTTGGAGCCTTTTGTACAGAGGTCTGAGCTATATACGGGCAAAATATTATTATAATAGAAGATTTTTAAAAGGAGAATTTTTTAAAAAGGGGTCATTTTATGTTCATTTTTTCAAAAATTGAAATTTAAAAAATTTTTTTATTGTAATACTATTCTTAAAACAATTTTACATACATTTTCTAATCTAAATGACAATAAATATAAATATTATCCATTTATACACGCTTTTGCAAAATCACGGTTCCGAACGTAGTCGGATACCTTAAGATTTAATATTCATTTTTCTCTTTACAGAAGCATTTTTTTCTTCTTAGGAGTATATAAGTAAATAAAACTTGCAAACCAGAAAATGACATGAAAATTTTTAATGTTAAGTTTTTTTTTTTTGTACATTAAATACTTATTGTTATATTATATCGTTTCGCTTCGCAATTGTTGATACGTTCAGGGTTATTTTTTTCCAAATCCCTTTTCTGCCCCGGGGGGGGGAGGTCAAGGCCCGGACCCATTTGGGTTAAGTGGCCCCCGAAAAAAAGTGGTTTTTTATTCGAAATGGGGGTTTTTTTAAAAAAAAGGGGCCCTAATGCCTGAAAATTTAAAAAACTAAAACACGCTTTTTTGTGGTTAATGGAACAAAAAAAGAAAAAAACGATTTTTAATTATAAGAATAAAAGGGTTTACAAAAGAATGTCTTTGGGGAAAAAAAGCGTGGGTGCTTTTATATCAATTTTTTTTACTAGTTTTTATTCCGAAATGCTGAGTTAGTGTAAAATGTAGTACAAAGCACCCCACGCTTTTACCACAATGACATTAAAAAATTTTCTCGTTAATCATTTTATTCTTAAAGTAAGAATCATTTTTTTTTTTTACTTTTCAGTTCGATTAACCATAAAAGCGTGCTTTTTAGTTTGTTTGTTTTTTAACTTTATTTTTCATTTTTAAGTTCGATCTGCAGTACTAGCGTGTATTTTTAGTTTTTTTTTAAATATCGCTTATTCATACACATTTTCCGACCGAAAAAGTTAGCCCGTCCGTGAGTTTCAACAAATTTTTTTTTTTTACATACACAAGTCTTTTTTTCTTATTTCCATCTTCAGAAAAAGACTGAACAATTGCTTACATTATGATATGAAATTTATGACGCAAAAAAAAAAAAACGTTTTTTTTTTTGGGGGGTTACTTTAATTTTTTAAATGCCAAATCGGGAAATTGTACAGGGAAATTTAAACCCCAAAAAAATCTGAAAAAAAGGTTTCAAAAAAAATAAGAAAAAGCCAAATCTATAAATTGTATTTTTAATTTTATCCTCTGTAAAATTTGGAAAAAAATTTTATGAAATTATTGTATTCTAATGGCCCCGGAAAGTGAAAAAAATTTTCAAATTAATTTGACCTTTTAATGTGGGTAAAAATCGAGTTCAAAGATTCCGTTACATACAAGTGAAACTTATAAAAGCGAGTTAAAAATTGCGAGGTCCGTCGCTTAAAAAACCCCTTCAAATCCTTAAAAAAGAATCTACCCCTAGTTTCCTTTTTACAGGTTTTTTTGCGTTTTTCCAAGTTAAAGGATGCAAAAAATGCGGGGCCCGGGGGGAAAAAAAATCTTCAAGGGGTTTAGATGTGTAAAATTTAAAAATCTCATTTTATTACTAGAAAATATTTTTTTAAATTTTAATAAAAAACCAATAAAATAAAAAGATTAAATTTCCGGGGGATTTTTCCATTTAGGGGGTTTTTGAACCCCCTTAAATTTTAAATGGTAAAAGGGGAGGGGTTCACCGGGTTTTCCAAATTAAGTTTTCCCCGAAGATTTAATGCTGTGAAGGGGGTTTTCCCGTTAAATTGGGGCCACCCCGGAAAGGAAAAGAGATTTAATCCAACCCCGGCCCCCTTTTAAAAAAAAAAAGCCTTAAATTTTATTTTTAAATTTGCATTTCCAATTTTAAAAATGGTTTAAACCAATTAGGGTTTTTTTAAAAAAGCTGTCAAAAATTTGAAACCCTTTAATTTTTCGGGGTTTTTTAAACTTGAACAAAAACCCCCATTTTAGATTTTGGGAAAAAAAACGGAAACACATTCTATACCCGAAAAAATGAAAATTTAAAAAAATTAAAAAGGGGGAATTTTTTTTGTTTTAAAATTAAGGTGTTTTTTTGGGGTTTTTCCTTAAAAGGTTAAAAACAAAATGAAAAAAGGGGGGTTTTTTACCTTTTCTTTTTGGGGAACAAGGGGTTTAAAAACTTTCTAAAAATTTTTGCAGGGGGAAGCTGGGCCCAAGGGGCGAAAGGCGGTCACAAAAAAGTTAAACGATACTTTAAAATTTAGTCAATCGGGCCAGCCAAAAACCTTTAGATAATCCGATTTAAATAAATTTAAACACCCCCCACAGGGACAAAGGGCTAATAATATGGGGGGGGGTCGAAGGCGGAAAAGATCTGTCCCTTCTTATATTTCTAGACAAAGATTTTTTGTATCCGTTCCTACGGAACGCAAAGCAAAGGTTTGCTGACGCGGGGTATAGTTCCCGTGGTAAGCATTCGACTGCAAATCGAGAGGTCCCCCGGGTTCCCAAACCCCGGGTGCCCCCTTTTCAGGGGAAATAAAAAGAAAAAATTTTTTTAGAAATTGAAGGTGGGGAAAGATCTGTCCCGTTCTGTATATTTCAATACAAAGCATTTTCGTATCCTTGATTTTCGTCACATTCAGAATTTTTTTCGTCACATCCGTGACGGTGTGCGGCGCATTTGTAAAAATTTTACCCTCAACCCCTAACACCCCAAAAGAAGTATAACTTCAAAAATGCTGCATTTCTTTTATATCTGAAAAAATGTTCCAAATTCGGGTCCTATTCTTTAACATTAACCCCGAAGACAGCCTTAAATGAAATAAACACAAGGTAGTAGCGATAATGAAGAATGGGAGAAATACCAAATTGGATGTTGGCCCTCTTCATTTGACCCATGATTCAGAACGATGTAGCATATCTTCAAACTTGATCGTCAAGCAGTTTTACCACGATATTAACTAAACTCAGAAGTCATTATTTCTCGTTTAAGAGTTATAATTTGTCTGAGTAAGGATTTAATTAACGTCTCGCATTATAAAATAACATGAGGAATATTGGCGGTGGATTTCATTCAAATCCGCACTCAAATGGCGACTCCGACACCTGAGCTGACACCACTTCTCCAAGCATCCACACTACACCCATGGGTCAAATTTTAAGCCTTGGCTGATTTAGCGTGCATCAACCCCTCTATGAAATGGGTGTTGAGTTCTAATACACTACTCGACAACGCCAGCCACGCATTCGTGACCACGACCACTCGCCTACCACGGTCGCATTTTTCCAGGACAACTGTGTGGCTCATTTATAAGTGTCAATTTTAAGGTATCCGACTACGTTCGGAACCATGATTTTGTAAAAGCGTATAAATGGATGATAATTATAATATTTAGTGTCACTTAGATTAGAGAATGTATATAAAATTGTTTTAAGAATAGTATTACATTAAAAAATTATATTTAAATACAATATTTCGGCAAAAAATTAACTTAGAATAACCTTTTTTCAAAATGTTCTCCTTTTGTCAAAAATGCTTGTATTAAAATAATATTTTGCCTGTATATAGCTCAAACCTCTGTACAGAGGCTCAACTAGAATTTTTGAAATATAAAAATTAGAAGTGGGTTTATCCATATTTAAAGACAACAGAGGGAAGCAATTTTAAGAAAAAAAAAACGCCAATAAATATTTAAATGGGTGGTAACTCTGAAAATAATGTGAATTTTTCAAAACTCATACTCGAGCCTCAGTACAGAGATTTGAGCTGTATACAGGCAAAATATTATTATAATAGAAGCATTTTTGACAAAAAGAACATTTTAAAAAAAGGTTATTCTAAGTGAATTTTTTGCCGAAATATTGTATTTAAATAATTTTTTTTTGCCAAAATGTCCTTAAAACAGTTTTATACATGTATTCTAATTTAAGTGACACTAAATATCATGAAAATTATCCATTTATGCGCCTTTTTAAAATCACGGTTCCGAACCTAGTCGGATACCTTAAGTTTTTCACTTATATATAAAGAGCACCATCACTATTTTTTAAAAACACACACAATACTTACAATTATATAACAATTAGTTTTAATTGGGTTCATACCATTGAATTAATGAAATCAATTTACCAAAGCAAGACAAGATCTCTCCTTTTCCAGAAAAACACTACGAATTCAGTGTTAAAATACACACAAATATCCTTAAATAAAACAATAATCAATTATAACACACAGGAGAAGGAATATGAAACTTATACAGCAAGGGTGGGTAGACTTTTCCAGGGTACGGGCTATTTCTAAATTTTTCAAGCTGTTGCGGTCCACCCACTGTTAGTGGTGCACACGAGCAGGGAGACGGTGTTCCACGGGCCCGGACCCTTGTTCATAGCCCTTCAATTTTTTTTCCCGATTAAGGTATCAGACTACGTTCGAAACCGTGATTTTGCAAAAGAGCATAAATGGATAGTTTTCGTGATATTTAGTGTCATTTAGATTAGAATACATGTATATAATTGTTTTAAGAATATTTTGATAAAAAAAGTTATTTAAATACAATATTTTGGCAAAAAATTAACTTGGAATAATCTTTTTTCAAAATGTTCTCCTTTTTGAAAAAAGCTTCTATTTCAATAATATTTTGCCTGTTTATAGCCTCGACCTCTACAGAGGCTCAACTAGAATTTTTGAAATATATAACTTAGAAATGGGTTTATCCATATTTAAAGACAACAGAGGGAAGCAATTTAAAAAAAAAACGCCAATAAATATTTCAATGGGTGGTAACTCTGAAAATAATGTGAATTTTTCAAAAATTCTAGTTGAGCTTCTGTAGAGAGGTCTGAGCTATATACAGGCAAAATATTATTATAATAGAAGCAATTTTCACAAAATGATAACATTTCGAAAAAAGATTATTCCAAGTTAATTTTTTGCCAAAATGTTGTATTTAAATAATTTTTTTTTGTCAAAATGTCCTTAAAACAATTTTATGCATGTATTCTAATCTGAGTGACACTAAATATCATGAAAATTATCCATTTATGTGCTTTTTTAAATCATGGTTCCGAAAGTAGTAGGATACCTTAATTATAATCCCATGTAAAAAGAACGTTAAATGTAATTAAGTATGTTATTTTTTATTAATTAATGCTAATTATTTATTTTTTGCTGTTTTTGTTCCCGATAACCGACAAACAATAAAAAATGTGTTTAGCTGCGTTTGGGGGATACGAGAATGGTAGGCCTTTGACCCTTCACCCCCCCGAAAAACTCTTGTTTGCGCCACTGTCCAATGTCGTAGGTATGGTCAGGTAAAGAAAAAGCTTATTTTTATAACAATAATAAATATGAAATATGTACTTATACCTACAGAACTAAAATAAAAAAATACTTTTAAAACCGCATTTAAAGCAAAGCGCAAAACATAACTTAATAATAACAGCCAAAAATACAATTATATCAACTGGTGCATTTATTATGAAACAATTCAAAATACATTAAGAAATACAACATTTTTATTTAAAGTTAGTTTTTGTTGTTATAGTCAGTAGGAGACTTATACTCTGCGTGCTGTCAGCCAAACTTGAATTTTCCGTATATAATTACTAACTGCTAAAATCTTCAGGCGGTCACCGGTCGATTGCGATCGACGTAATGCCCACCCCGGCTATACAGGGTCTTGCATATTTCGACCGACAGAGTGGTGACTATTGGCAGCATGGCGACAACAAATCCCCATAGAACATGAGGGCGCAAAGCCCGTTTAATTGGAGAAATTCGTAAAAGCAGTTATGAAAGGTGTGATGTCGAATGAAATGAAAAAGGGCAGTAAAAGGTAAGAAAATACATTTATTAGACGAATGACATGTTTGCATTACGAACGTCATAGCTCGATGTTAGAAGTACAACGATAAGTGATTGTCACAGGAATGGTTCGAAGATGCGGTCGCGTAGATCATTGCCAAGCCGGCACCGACGGACTACGGATTATCGGACGCTTTCAAACGAATTTGGTGTTGGCGATGTCAGCTGAAGCGACGACGATCTGCGCCGTGAAATCATCCACTGTAGCCACAGGTGTATCATACGCAAGCGATTCAAGGGATTGAGGTTTGAAGAACTTGGAGGCCAAGAAATAAACCCGCTACGTTCAATCCATCTCCCGAGATATGTAGTATGGAGAGGTGGTTATGCACCACAATCGAAAAATGTGCTGGTTCACCATAGTGTATGTAGGAAGGAAGATAGATCTGAGTACCTTCCGTTCCGTATGCAAGTACTTTGTCGACCACCCCAAAACGATCATCTTCACGTGATGTTTGGTACTAGTTTATATAAATATCACACCGCCACATACCTCCATGCTAGTGATTCGGCGGGGGTGAAGGATACCATATTCGTGGGGCCGAGC